GTTGATGAAAGTACATTACACGTTATTGATACAACTATTGGCACAAATGAATGTACATTTTCTGTTAATGAACGGCAAAAGGTGTAATACGTGATATAAACGTGTAGTCGGAAAACAAATTTCATGAGGGCTGAAATCATCAATCCTTTCGTCTACCTGTTGTACAACTTCAGAGTTGTTCATAGCTGGGTATGGAGTCTTGCCACCACTATAAACCTCCCAAGCGAGAATTCCTGGACAAAATGCAAGAGATGGAAATGAAGAAAGAGAAAACGAATGCGGAAATCGAGAGAAGTTTAATGAGAAGCACAACGTTTAGCAGTAAGTGCTTTATAACTACACACAGCAAAGCAAGCAATTTTTTGATTTCTTTGTATAATTGGAAATAGCAATTAAAGTAGCTATCTTTTGGATACGAAAGACGAAATAGAAAGCATGCGTGCGTTCTGTGTGCTCTCATAAGGTAAAACGTAAAACACCTATATTTTAAAAACATTACTCCCCGTGAGGGGTTCTTGCGTGAGGTTCCCTCCACACGCACTACAACTACTTCCAACTATATATAAAACGTACAACGACTCACATGTCGATTCTTACGGAGGGAGGAAACCGAAGATGCCAGAGAAAACCCTCGTGGCAAGAGAGAGAACAACACATCAAACAAACTCAATTCATTACGGCTCAGCAAACGCGCAACCTCAGGTATGAACTACGCAAGAGTGGGGACAGCGTGCATACCACCCAACGAATCAGAAAACAAGACTTGTATAAAAGTTATTTCATAAGAAATAATGAGTCGGATTACACAACATGGATATGCTCACCAAATGCCCATACGTCTGACTTGCTGCTAAATTTACTGTACAAGATGACTTCAGGTGAAGCCCATTTGATGGGGAATTTGGTTCCCTCTGAAGCTGTGTACTCATCATCGATAACATATCTGTCAAAAGAAACATGGTAATGTATTTTATTTAAGAAATATAAAACGCGCGCATGTCTCTGTACTGTGATATGAACACGCTCGGAGCGTAGAGCATGAGAGAAGCTAGCTTAGGAACACGAGGAGCAGGTGATGTTGCTTTTATAAAATCATTTTTGAACGATTTTGCGCGAGACTCTGATATAAACACGGTAGCCAGCCAATCAGCGCGCGCGTTATATACCAAATATTTTAAGAAAATAAAGAAAATAATAAAATATTTGAAATATAATATATATTGGCTAGGTACCACGTTTATATCAGAGGACAAAGACGCTCGCGCAAAATTGTTCAAAAATTGACTTGACTGAATTTTGCTTGACTTGTGCAAGTAACGGATCATTTTAAATCTTAGCTGATCAAATGAGACTATATATGGCTGAAGTGGGAGATAGGGGGAGGGGGCTTCCCGTAAATATCACTGTATCCTCATATCACTCTTCTTATTCCCTAAAAAATAATTTGGGCCTTCTGTACAAAATACTTGGCGCTTGTTTGTGAGTCAACATACCTTGATAAACCAAAGTCTCCTACTTTAACTGTTCTATTGTCTCCGATGAGACAGTTCCTAGCAGCCTAGAATGAAGACGARTACAAGTTATAATATAAAACTTGTGCATTCTTGACCAGAACGTTTCATGAGAGAGAGAACTACTTTTGACTCGAGTAAACTGGAATTTTTGACACGACAAGTTTGACAAACCCTGAAACAGCCTCTTGGACAGGGCACGGCTAACTCACAGATCGAGTTAGAGTTTCGCTTGTTTTGTTTTAACGGAAGGAAAATGGACAATCCTGAGTAATACTCTCGAATTGAGGGATAGAGACTTAACAGACTCTGCTCAAACTTGATGCCGAGTCCAGCAATTGAACCCAAGACACCAGAGATAAGAGGCGAGTGTACTTCTGCTATGCGACGCACCCTCGATTCTTAGACAAGGACATGAGCCATGCAAACTACTCTTCTCACAAGGCCGATGCCAGCAAGTTGATGCCGAGTCCAGCAATTG